CATGCCCAGCTAATGTTTTGTATTTTTAGTAGAGACGGGGTTTCACCATGTTGACCAGGATGGTCTCGATCTCTTGACCTCGTGATCCACCCGCCTCGGCCTCCCAAAGTGCTGGATTACAGGCAGGAGCCACCGCGCCCAGCCAGCACTTTCAACTTTTTAGGTGGGAAACGGTAGTTATTTTTTCGTGACTTATTTTGAGTATTCGAGCTCAATGTTCAGAATAAAATGGGATAACGTTTGGACCCACTTCCAAATGGCTCCAAGAGAAGGGGAGAGTTCGATTCCGCAGGAGCAGGACTGGCCACAAACTGGCAGCTATTTAAGCTAGCCGACGAGACGCAGGAGCGGGGTCGTTCCTCACTATTTTCTCCTTTTTCCCTTTTCTAAGTCGAAAGGTCTCAGAGCAAGAAGTCTGAAAGCACAAGGCGGTGCGGCACCGGGCGCATCAAGAGCGACCTGCCCGGCCGGCCGCTGCAGGCGCATCTCGGAAGCGAGCAGAGGGGCCTCGGGCTCTCTCCGCCAGGGTGCAGCGCTCCTTCCCCTTCCCAGCGCCCCCGATACGGACGGACGGCTCACTGACCTAGCCCGAGCCACGAGCTCACCAGGAGCGACAGCAGGAACACCAGCTGCGCCGAACCACCCATGTTGGCATCAGGACTGGCGCGGTGCCGTACGCCGCGCACACCCACAGCCCCGCTGCGCATGCGCCCGGAGTAGTCGCCCCGTACGCACGCATGCACGCACCGCGTCGGTCGCCGCCGCCTACGCACGCATGCACGCACGGCGCCGGTCACCGCCCCCGACGCACGCATGCACGCAGCTCCACCGCCCGCCCAGCACCCGACAGTTTAGGAGGGGGAATCTGACGGCCGCGAGGCGGAGGACTGGCTACACCACCTGCAGGGCCGCCCAGGAAATTAAGAAACAGCATGCTGAGGGTCCCTGCCGTCCTAGAAGCCCCTTCACTACTTTTTTGAACCGTTGGACAGTTTACATTCCCTTTGAGATTGCTTTTGTGCGTTACACCATTGCAAGACCACAAAGGTTTCAACTTAACATTTATTGCACACTCACTGCAGGCCACTGCGCAGCCCTCAAAATACACAACCTAATAACACAACTTCACCTTCAAGGACTGCAGAGGCAGACCAGCTATATAAACAATCTCGTGGCAACGTAGTAATTTGGGTGAGAAAAATATGACGCGAGAGGTTTGGGAATGAGTATTTTGCATAAGCAAAATTTCATAAGTTTGAAAATACAGCCTGCAAATCTCGAATTTCACCAATAACCCTATCCCTTAGTCACCACGCCTTCCACTATTTTTTTGCCTCTGCCTCTTCTGTTTTTGCACCTTTACACTTGCAGCTCTCTCAACTCCCTTGCCTCTAGTTTACTCCTCTTCCCATTTCCTACAACTTAACTTGGTGGGAGCATTTTAGCAAAGCCATTTCAAAAGCATAAAAAGTCTATCTGATCCAATGAATTTACTCAGAAATTTATACTAACAGGGAGGCTTTCAAAATTTTAAATTACTTAAACGTTAGATTAGCATAAAAATCTTAAAACCAAATGCTTGTATCAGTAGGGTACTGTTGGTAATTTAACATACATCCACATGAAATTATTAAACCATTAAAATCTGTTTTTCAAGGAATATTTAATAACAAGGTAGGCAACATATGCTTATCTAACATGGAATTTTATGTCACTGCTGCTAAAGCAAAGCATCCTGTTCACTGGGTGAAAGACCTGCTTTAAAGTGTGTACACTTCAGTGCAATTAAAATAAAATACTGTCATTATAATTTCAGAGCTTCTGAATTTCAACAGATGCCAGTGTTCTCTTTTTTCATATGGGAAAATTCCTTTGAAAATCATTTGAAGCTTGGACAAAAATTCCACAGCTGTATTCCTCAGGATCACTTTGCAGAGTCTTCAAGATCCAGATACAGAGGAAGCTTCAATTCAACCTTTCAGAGAAGACATTCCAGCTCGCATGATCTCATCAACCAAGAGAATGTTGGTGGCAATCACAGTGCTGAAAGGGTGACAAAAATTACATGGCTTAGATGATTAGAAGCCCTAATTTGACTAAACTACCCACTTCCAACTAAGCTGCACACATTACATCCAATTAAATTTCCCCCTTCCCTCTACACATCAAAGCTCTGGCTAGTTTAGTTTCCATACTTCCAGCTGATTACATTATTCATGGAGGAAAAGGAACAACTAAACAAAACACACTAAATGAAAAGCATATGATGATTCTCTAACAGTTTAAGTTTTCATTTTCCCAAACTTACCAGGAGTGAAGAAGCTGTTTCTTTACACAATAGTTATCCCATACGCCTACTTCTGCTGCTACCACTGGCTCACCTAAAAGGCAACCAAATCTTAGATCAGTCAATAAGAACCAAAAATATTGTGTGCGGCTTTGCTTATCACTGATGACTTATTTCCTCCAGTATTAACTATGAGAATTCAAACCTTCTCTGTTAGCCCAATTTTCTACTCTAAATCATGACCCCTATTCACAATATTTGATGAGCGTCTGACTTCTACTTAAAAGACCTGAACACCCCTCTCTTCTTCTGGATACATTTCTGTTTACCCATACTAAAGTAGAGCACTTCAACTATAATTTAGCTAAAATGGACTATCATTTCTCTCATTCCAGAAACCTTTTCTATTAAATAATGTTGACAACAGGTCTCGCACATACTGCATGGATGTACCCATTATCTGTCTCCTACTGTGTACTTGTATAGTATGTGTTGTTTTCTTACAGGGACTTAAGATTAAGGCTGTCACCATTTCATTAGCTTTCTAGATCCCCTTTTCTGGCATTATTTGCTATCTTTAGCTGTTTTTCACCCATGAATATAATGACCATATCTATTTTCTTATCATAGTACTTGATTAAAGACTGTGTAAGGCAATACAGTATGAAAATCTTTCAACATTAATCTGAACCATCTACCACCACTCAGCATCTCCAACAAAACTGTATCCCAAAAGTATTCATATCTACTCTATTCCCTTAATTATAAGAACTAGTCATTCCATTTTTTATTAATATCCTAGTTTATCCCATTTTAGAGAACCCAGAGTTCCCTAACAGTACTGGTGTCAAATTGCAAAGCAAAAGATTTTTTTTTGGTCCCATTTTTAATCTTTCCTGGTTTCAACTCACATGTATTATATCTAGTTTCCCCCCCTACAAACAGTTGCACTCTCTTACCTGTGTTGAGGTCCACACCCACAAGCTGACCTGATTCTGAATGTTCTGCTTGAATTTTAACTAATGTTTCCTGAAGGTCAAAACCAGAGTTCTGAGCAAGAACCTTGGGAATAATGAGCAATGCATCAGCAAATGCTTGGACGCCAAGCTGTGCCCTGCCCTTTACACTGGGCTTATATTTCATCAGGGCTTCTGC